GGTGACAGTGGGTGACAGGGCACAGGGAGGTGACAGAGGGTGACGGTGATGGAGAAGTGATGAGGTGACAGGGAGGTGACAGTGCTGTCCCCAGGGTCAGATCCAGTGCACGGTGCTGGGCAGGCCGGAGCAGGGGGTGACAGGGAGGTGACAGGGGGTGTGACAGGAGGTGACAGGGGCTGTGTCACTGCTGTCCCCAGAGTCATATCCAGAGGACAGTCCTGGGCAGGAGGTGACAGGGTGTGACAGGGAGGTGACAGGGGGTGTGACAGGCTGTGTCACCGCTGTCCCCAGGGTCAGAACCAGCGCACGGTGCTGGGCAGAGCAGAGCAGGCGTGTGCGGGGCTGTGGGAGCAGCTGCGGGCAGGGACTGCACAGTCAGGGGGTGACAGGGGGTGACAGGAGGTGACAGGAGGGCACAGGAGGTGACAGGGTGTGACATTGCTGTCCCCAGGGTCAGATCCAGCGCACGGTGCTGGTCAGAGCAGAGCAGGCATGGGCGGGGCTGCGGGAGCAGCTGCAGGCGGGGACTGCACAGTCAGGGGGTGACAGGGTGGCGTGACAGGGAGTGACAGGGAGGGCACAGGGGGTGACAGGGGGTGTGACACGGGGTGACAGGGAGGTGACAGGGGGTGTGACAGGCTGTGTCATTGCTGTCCCCAGGGTCAGATCCAGCGCACGGTGCTGGGCAGAGCAGAGCAGGCGTGCGCGGGGCTGCGGGAGCAGCTGCGGGCGGCGGCCGCGCAGAGCCAGGGGCTGCAGGCGCAGCTCAGCGAGAGCCACCGCAAACACGCTGAGGCTCAGTGCAAGGTGACACCCAGGGGGGCGGGGACAGGGACAGGGGACGGGGAGGGGACACGGGGACAGGGAGGGGACACGGGGGACAGGGGGAGGGGACACGGGGACACAGGGAGGGGACACAGGGACACCGGCAAACCAGGACAGTGCAGCGTGTCCTTGGTGACACCGGTGTCCCCAGGGTGTCCCCAGGTTGTGGGGGGTGTCCCCGTGGGTGACACGGGTGTCCCCAGGGTGTATGGGGTGTCCCCATGGGTCACACAGGTGTCCCCAGGTTGTCCCCAGGGTGTATGGGGTGTCCCCATGGGTCACACAGATGTCCCCAGGATGTCCCCAGGCTGTGGGGGGTGTCCCCGTGGGTGACCCAGCTGTCCCCACGGGTGACCCGGCTGTCCCTGTGCTGTCCCCGTGGGTGACCCTGCTGTCCCCGTGGGTGACCCTGCTGTCCCCGCGGGTGACCCGGCTGTCCCCGTGGGTGACCCCGCTGTCCCTGTGGGTGACCCCGCTGTCCCTGTGTTGTCCCCATGGGTGACCCCGCTGTCCCTGTGTTGTCCCCATGGGTGACCCGGCTGTCCCTGTGCTGTCCCTGCGGGTGACACGGGTGTGTCTGTGGGCTGTCCCCATGGGTGACCCGGCTGTCCCCACGGGTGACCCGGCTGTCCCCAGAGCAAGGAGGAGGTGATGGCGGTGCGGCTGCGCGAGGCTGACAGCATGGCCGCCCTGGCTGAGATGAGGCAGCGCGTGGCTGAGCTCGAGATACAGGTGGGGACACGGCACGGGGGGACAGAGGGGGACAGAGGGGAGCTGGGGGGATGGGGGAGCATGGGGACACGGGGACAGAGGGGACGAGGGGAGGGACACGGGGGGACAGGGGTACACAGGGACACGGGGATGGGGGACAGGGGGATGGAGGGACAGGGGGGACACAGGGGAACAGGAGAGCGTGGGGGGGACAGGGAGGGGACAGGGGGACAGGGGTACACAGGGACATGGGGGGACAGGGGGATGGAGGGACAGGGGACACAGGGGAACAGGAGAACGTGGGGGGGACAGGAGGGGACAGGGGGGACAGGGGTACACAGGGACATGGGAAGGACAGGGACAGGAGGGGACATGGAGGGGACCCCAAGATAGGGAACCATGAGGGTATATTGGGAGGAGACACTGAGACCCCAGGGAGAGGACAATGGGACCGTGTGGGGGGGACACTGGAACCCCAAAAAAGGGGACACTGGGACTCCAAAATAGGGGACAATGGGACCATGTGGGGCGAACACTGGGATTGGGGGGGGGAGGACACTGGGTACCCCAAAGGAGGGACACTGGGACTGTGGGAGAGGGCCATGGGGGACCCAAAGGAGAGGTCTTGGAGGGACCCAGAAGGGGGACATAGGGACCCCATGGGGACAGGGGAGTGGCAGGGGTGCCAGGGGAGTTCAGGGGCTTTAGGGGGCCACATGTGAACCCCATTCCCCAGCAGGAGGAGGGGCGGATCCAAGGGTTGGTTGTTATGGGGGTTTGGGGGGCTGCATTGACCCCCATTTCTCCCCAGAGGGAGGAGGGGCGGATTCAGGGGGGTTTTGGGGGTTCAGGGGGTTTGGGGGGGTTGCAGTGACCCCCATTTTCCCCCCCCAGAGGGAGGAGGGGCGGATCCAGGGCCAGCTGAACCACTCGGACGCCGCCCAGTACATCCAACAGCTCCGGGACCACATCGACGAGCTCAAGGCTGAGGTGGGGACACCCCCGGGGCTGGGGGGACACCTGGGGGGCACCCACGGGTTGGGGACACCCCCGGGGCTGAGGGGACACACAGGGGACACCCACGGGCTGGGGGACACCTGGGCAGGATGGGGACACCCCCGGGGCTGGGGACACCTGGGGGGCACCCACGGGTTGGGGACACCTGGGGACACCCCCGGGGCTGGGGGGACACCTGGGGGCTCCCACGGGTTGGGGACACCCCCAGGCTGGGGTGGGGATACCCCCGGGCATGGGGGGACACCTGGGGGGCTCCCACGGGTTGGGGACACCTGGGGACACCCCCGGGGCTGGGGGGACACCTAAGCAGGACCCTCAGGGCTGGGAGACCCCCGGATGGCACCCACAGAGGGTGGGGGGACCCCTGGGTGGCATCCAGGGGGTGGGGACACCCACGGGTTGGGGACATCCACGGGTGGGACCCTTGGGGGCTGGTGGGGGGACAAGGGGGCTGAGGGACCCCAGTGGGGACACCGCTGTCCCCAGGAGTGCTGGGGGACACCCAAGGCCAGGGACCCCCCTCGGGGGTGACCCCACCCTACCCGGGGTGTGTCCCCACTGTCCCCAAGGTCGGGGCACCCCGGGGACAGTCCCTGGGCAGCCCCTGGTGCTGGCACTGCCACCACTGGTGACGTGTCCTGGGTGCCACCGGCCATGTCCCCACGGGGTCATGTGGCCCGGGGACAGCCGGTGACAGAGTGTCCCTCTCTGCTCCCTCCTCCCCTTCTCTGCTGTCCCTTGTCCCCTCCTGTCCCTTGTCCCTGTCCCTGTCCCTTGTTCTTTCTCTCATCCCCTTTCCCTTGTTCCGTGTCCCTGTCCCTTGACCCTCTCCCTGTCCCTTGTCCTTCTCCCTGTCTGTGTCCCTGTCCCTTGTCCCTGTCCATTGTCCCTGTCCTTGTCCCTTGTCCTGTATTCCTGTCCCTGCCCCTTGTCCCTCTCCCTCTCCCTTGTTCCTTTCCCTGCTCCTTATCCCTTGTCCCTCTCCCTCTCCCTTGTTCCTTTTCCTGCTCCTTATCCCTTGTCCCTGTTCCTTGTCCCTGTGCCTGTCCCTTGTCCTGTGTCCTTGTGCCTTCATCCTATCCCTTGCCCCTGTCCTTTGTCTCTGTCCCTGGCCCCTGTCTCTGTCCCTTATCCCCTGTCCTTTGTCCCTCTCCCTGTCCCTTGTCCCTCTCCCTGTTCCATGTCCCTGTCCCTTGCCCCTGTCTCTGTTTCATGTTCCTGTCCTTGTCGCTTGTCCCTTGTCCTTGTCCGTTGTCCCTGTCCCTTGTCCCCATCCCTGTCCCTCTCCCTGTCCCTTGTCCCTGTTTCTTATCCCATGTCCCTTGTCCCTCTCCCTGTCCCTTATCCCTTTCCTTACCCCCTGTCCCTGTTCCTTATCCCTTGTCCCTGTCCCTCTCCCTGTCCCTGTTTCTTATCCCATGTCCCTTGTTCCTGTTCCTGTCCCTCTCCCTGTCCCTGTTCCTTATCCCATGTCCCTTGTCCCTGTCCCCATCCCTGTCCCCATCCCCGTCCCCACAGATCCGGCTGCTGCGGGGCCCGCTGTCCTTCGGGGGGGTGGCCCTGGGGACCCGCCTGGGGGACGAGGACTCGCTGGGCTCGTCGGACGAGGAGCTGCCCCCCTTCAGCCTCCCCCCTGGGGACATCGGGGACATGGGGGACATGGGGGACATCGGGGACAGCAGCGACAGCGAGGCCGAGGGGGGAAACCCTGAGCCCTGACCTGGGGGACATGGGGGATATGGGGGACATCAGGGACAGTGACACCGAGGGGGCACACCCAAGAGCCCTGAGCCCTGGGGACATGAGGGACATTGGGGACAGCAGTGACAGTGACACCGAGGGGGCACCCCCAGAGCCCTGAGCCCTGGGACATTGGGGACATCATTGGGGACAGCAGCGACAGCGAGGCCGAGGGGGGAAACCCCGAGCCCTGACCTGGGGACACTGGGGACATCACTGGGGACATCAGGGACACTGGAGACATGAGGGACACTGGGGGACATCAGGGACAGTGACACCGAGGGGGCACCCACAGAGCCCTGAGCCCTGGGGACATGAGGGACATCGGGGACAGCAGTGACAGTGACACCGAGGGGGCACCCCCAGAGCCCTGATCCCTGGGGACATTGGGGACATTGGGGACATCAGGGATATGGGGGACAGCAGTGACAGCAAGACCAAGGGGGCACACCCAGAGTCCTGACCCCTGGGACATTGGGGACATCATTGGGGACATTGGGGACATCAGGGACATGGGGATCAGCGAGACCAAGGGGGTATCCCTAGAGCCCTGACCTTGGGACACTGGGGACATCAGGGACATTGGGGACATGGGGGACATGGGGGACAGTGAGACTGAGAGGGCATTGACAGAACCCTGACCTTTGGGGACATTGGGGACACTGGGGACATCACTGGGGACATTGGGGACAGTGAGACTGAGAGGGCATTGACAGAACCCTGACCTTTGGGGACATTGGGGACACTGGGGACATCACTGGGGACATTGGGGACAGTGAGACTGAGAGGGCATTGACAGAACCCTGACCTTTGGGGACATGGGGACATTGGGGACATGGGGACAGTGAGACTGAGAGGGCATTGACAGAACCCTGACCTTTGGGGACATGGGGACAGCCCGAGGGGGCACACGGGGACATGGGGGCACCTGCCAGCCCTGTGGGGGGTCCCCAGTCCATGGGGGGACACTGAGGACACCCAGGGGACATCTGGGGGACACTGAGGACACCCAGGAGACACTGAGGACACCCACAGCACCCAGGGGACATTAAGGGACACCCCAAGTCCCCGGGGCACCTTGGGGACACCACTCCAGGTGGCACCTTGAGGACACCAGGGACACCCGGGGGACACCGGGAGACTCCAAGGGCCACCCTGGGACATGCAGGGGACACCCACGACACCCGGGGGCTCGGGGACACCCAGGAGACACTGGGGGACACCTAAAGGACACCCCAGGGGACACCCAAAGGACCCCCAGGGGACATTGAGGGACACCCAAAGGACCCCCAGGGGACATTGAGGGACACTGAAGGACACCCAAAGGACACTGAGGGACACTGAGGGCCTGATCCTGCGCACGGAGGGATCCCGGGACACCTCTGGATCCCAGAGGGACACGATCCGGGACAGGGACACAGCCCAGGACACGGATCTGGTACATGGATCTGGGACACGGATGGACCCTGGACACGGATGGATCCCAGACATGGATGGATCCCGGACACGGACACAGCCCAGGACATGGACAGATCCCGGACACAGCTGGATCTGGGACACAGCTGGATCCCGGCCCTGGAGCCCCCCTGGATTCAGAGGGACCCCCAAGGACGTGACTGGATCCTGGATCCCCCTGAACCCCCTGGATGGATCCTGAATCCCCCTGAACCCCCTGGATGGACCCTGGATCCCCCTGATGGATCCTGGATCCCCCTGAACCCCCAGACGGATCCTGGATCCCCTGAACTCCCTGGATGGATCCTGGATCCCCCTGATGGATCCTGGATCCCCCTGAACCTCCTGGATGGATCCTGGATTCCCCTGATGGACCCTGGATCCCCCTGAGCCCCCCCAGACGGATCCTGGATCCCCCTGAACCCCCCAGACGGATCCCAGATCCCCGGGATGGATCCCGGGCTCGGGGGCTCCGACACGGCCGTTCCGAGGACATTTTGGGGGGAGGGGTCACGGCCCCTCCCCCCCCTCGCTGTACAGAGAAATACAGGACCCAAAACCTCGGGAATTCGCCCCAAAAATGTCTCTTGGGACCCCAAACCTCCGGGAATTCCTCCTAAATCCCTGGGAGTGACCCAACCCCCCCCTGGAATTCACCCCCAAACCGCCTGCTGGGCTCCCAAACGTCCGGAATTCACCCAGGAAGCAACTCTGGGGACCCCAAAAATGCCAAGTCGGCCCCAAAATTCCTTCTTGGAGCCCCAAAATCCCTGAGATTGGCCCCAAAACCTCTGGAAATCACCACAAAAACATCTGATGGGACCCCAAAACCCCTCCAGTTCACCCCAAAGTAACCTGGAACCCCCAAATCCCTGAGTTTGGCCCCAAAAACAGCTGTTGGGACCCCAAAACCCCTCCAATTCACCCCAAAATACCCTCCTGGAGCCCCCAAATCCCCGAGTGTGGCCCCAAAAACTTGAATTTCACCCCAAAAACTTGAATTTCACCCCAAAAACATCAGCTGAGGCCCCAAAATCCCTGAGATTCAGCCCCCAAATTATTCCGAGACCCCTCCCCCCAAATCCCCGAGATTGGCCGCAAAAACCTCTGGAATGTCCCGAAAAAACCACGCTGGGACCCCCAAAACTCCCAAATTGACCTCCAGAGAACCTCCTGGAACCCCCAAATCCTCGAGATTGGCCCCAAAAACCTCGAATTTCACCCCAAAACAGCCCCCCCTCCCCCCCCAGTAAGCACAGGGGGCTCAGCAGCGCCTTTATTTGGGACCCCCGGGAATTGGGGAGGGTCCCCAAAATTGGGGGGGTCCTCGGGGGGGTCCTTTGGGATTTGGAGGGGTCCCTGGGGGGGTCCCAGTTCAGGGGGGGGTCCCAGTTCAGGGGGGGGTCCCAACTGGAGGCAGCTTCGGGTCGGGGGTCCTGAGCTGGGGGGAGGGCAGAGAGAGCTGGACCCCCAGTGCTCCCAGTTACCCCCAGTGCTCCCAGTTACCCCCAGTGCTCCCAGTTATCTCCCAGTGCTCCCAGTTACCCCCCCCCAGTGCTTCCAGTTACCCCCCCAGTGCTCCCAGTACTCCCTTTCTAGTGCTCCCAGTGCCCCCCAGTATGACCAGTCACCCCCCCAGCACTCTCAGTATCCCCAGTTCCCCCAGCACTCCCCAGTTCCCCAGTATCCCCAGTCTCGTGCCTGGCTCCCCGGGGTGAGGGGCGGGGCCGGAGTCAGGGGAGGTTCGAGAGGGTCAGGGGCGGCTGCGGAGGGAGAGGCATCAGAATGCTAGGTGGGGGAGGGGTCAGGAGTGAGTTTGGGGGCCAGGAGGCGGGTTAAAGGGGGGGTTTGGGGGGTCCTGAAGGCTGGGGGGTCTCACGGGGGTCAGGGGGGTTTGGGAGGTCCTGGAGTGGGTTCAGGTGGATCTGGGGGTCTCACGGGGGGGGTTAAAGGGGGGATTTGGGGGGGTCCTGAAAGGCTGGGGGTCTCACGGGGGTTCAAAGGGAGTTTGGGGGGTCCTGGGTGAGTTCAGGTGGATTTGGGGGGTCTCACGGGGGTAAAGGGGGGCTTGGGGTCCTGAAAGCCTGGGGGTCTCACGGGGGTCCAGGGGGTTCAGGTGGGTCTGGGGGTTCCGGGGGGGATTAAAGGGGGTTTGGGGGGTTCTGGGGGTTGGGGGGAGAATTTGGGGAAGGGTGGGGGGGTCCCGGAGGGGGTTAGGATTGGATTTGGGGGTCAGGGAGGGGTTGGGGGGAGATTTGGGGAGGTCTCACCTGTGCGGCCGTGCACGGCCAAAGCCCAGGAACCTCAGGAGGATTGTGGGAGGTTATTTGGGGGAGGTCTCACCTGTGCGGCCGTGCACCGAGCAAAGCCCCAGTGACTCAGGGAGGATTTGGGGGTATTTGGGTTTTATTTTGGGGGGTCTCACCTGTGCGGCCGTGCATGGCCAAAGCCCCGGGCATCAGGAGGAGGATTTGGGGGAGTGTTTGGGTTTATTTTGGGGGAGTCTCACCTGTGCGGCCGTGCACAGCCAAAGCCCCCGAGTCTCAGGGAGGATTTGGGGGTATTTGGGTTTTATTTTGGGAGTTCTCACCTGTGCGGCCCGTGCACGGCAAAGCCCCCGAGCTCAGGGAGGATTTGGGGGGGTATTTGGGTTTATTTTGGGGGGTCTCACCTGTGCGGCCGTGCAGCCAGAGCAAAGCCCCCAGGAGCTCAGGGGAGGATTTGGGAGTATTTGGGTTTATTTTGGGAGTCTCACCTGTGCGGCCGTGCACGGCCAAAGCCCCCGCCAGCGCCGCGCCCACCACGAAGGCCCCGAAGGACACGGCGGCCACGGCCCAGGGGGCACCGAGGGGGCTGCAGGAGGGCACGATCAGACCCCACACACCGCGGAACCCCAAAATCCTGAGAACCCCAAAATCCCTGAGACCCCCAAAATCCCTGAGACCCCCAAAACCTCCGAGACCCCCAAAACCTCCGAGACCCTCCCAAATCCCTGAGACCCCCACACCACAGGGCCCCCAGAACCTCCGAGACCCCTCCAAAATCCCTGAGACCATCCCAAAACCTCCGAGACCCCCAAAATCTCCAAGACCCCTCCAAATTTCAGAGACCCCCCAAAATCCCAGGAGACCCCACAAAACCTCCCAGACCCCCAAACCTCCCCCAGGAGTGTTCCCAGGGTCCAGGACCCCCAGCCCCCAAAGCCTCCTACTCGAGGTCCCCCTGCCCAGGACCCCCGGCCCCCAAAGGAGAACAAGCGGTCAGAGACCCCCTGACCCCCAAACTCCCCCACCTTGGGAGTCCGTCACTCACCCAGCAGAGGGCAGGGAGTCGCTGCCAGGGGGGTCGAGGCGGCTTGAGACAGGGGACTGCAGGAGCAGCGGCAGAGGCGCCCCGAGAGGGCCCAGGGGGCTCCTGTGAGGAGGGCGGTTATTTGAGGGTCCCTGTCCGGAGCTTTGGGTGTCGCGGGGGGGCCGTTTTGGGGCTTCCGAAGGGGGTCTCGCAGGTGGGGGTGGGGACACATC